TGTAGACAAGAACCTCTCATCTTAAATAAAACTCCACTTGAGGCTGGGCATGGTGGCTCATGCATGTAACCTCAGCACTTTCAGAGGTGGAGGGGGTGGATTGTTTGAGGCCAGGAGTTTGAGACCAGCCTGGCAACATGGAGAAACCCTGTCTCTACACAAAACCAAAAATTAGCTGGGCTTGGTGGAGCACACCTGTAGTCCCAGTTACTCGGAAGGCTGAGGTGGGAGGATGGCTTAAACCCAGGAGGCGGAGGTTGCAGTGAGCCTAGATCACATCACTGTACTCCAGCCTGGGTGACAGAGTGAGACCCTGTCTCAAAAAAAAACAAAAACAAAAACAAAAACAAAAAAGACCCTTCATTTGACTGTTCTCTGCCCTGCCAGCTACCTCACTCTTATTTTCCTTTTTTTATCTCCCACTTTCTTTTTCCTACAAATTCCAGCCAAATACCTCACATCTGTTCTCTCTGTTGGTTCCTAGACATAACTCCTCCAGTCTGGCTTCTGGGCAACCACCCCTCCCTGCCACTAGACTGCTGCCCCCACGGACTTCCTGTTTGCTAGAGCCAGTGATCTGATCTTAGCACGGGATTTGGAGTCAGAAGGCCTAGGCAGGTGCTGTGTCACTCGCCAGCTGTGTGACTGTGACCAACTTAAAGCACTTCTCTGAGCTGTGGGTCTGAATGTTAATTTGTAAAGTTGAGATGAGAGCATTAGAGTAACAGAATCATAATAGCTAACCTTTGTGTGAGTGCATGTGTGTGAGCGTGTGTGTGTGTACCTGCTAAGAGCCAGGCACTGTGCTGAGAATTTGCAATGTATAATCACATTTAATCCTCTACAACACCTCCAAGAGAGGTCTGCTCCTTTCCCCACTTTAAATGAGAAAATGGAGGCATAGTGAGGTAAAGTGATTTGCCTAAAGTCACACAGCCAGTAAATGATAGGTATAGAACTTGAACTCAGGAGGTCTGATTCCAAACTTTATGCCCTGTGGCTTCCCTACTGATGGTGCTCAGTACAGATAAGTGGGAGGTGTGACTTAGTGTTAATGGGGTCTCGAAGAGTCAGTGTGGGAATTGTCATTACCCTGAAGCTAGGGATGGCAGGTGTGTTTGTGGGTGGGGGCGGGACACTTTTGAGTGATGCTCTCCCCTGAGGCAATGTCTTGTAGGATACACACCTTTCTATTTCATCTCAGACTTCAGTGTCTCTTCCACATCCTGCCAGAGGCTCTCTGGCCTGGCTGCCCCTCCCCTTTCTGGGTGGTTTGGGAGAAAGAAGCTTGGAGTTCCCCCATCCTAGATAGCAGGACAGATTCCTCATCTTGTGAGGCTGACCCTGGCCTGGGGGTATGGAGTTATTAATAGTGGCCTGCATGGCTGTGTCATCCAGCTAGTGACTCAGGGCTCCAGGGGTGCATAAGCTACCTCAGGGCATAAGCTACCTCAGTGAGCAGATTAGGGTCCAAGCTATGACTCTACTTGAGGGTATATCCTGTTCTCTGCCTGCACTCCCAGGGTCTTGGCTAAACTCTGTTGTGGTATTAAAAAGAGAGGCTGGGGGGAAGTGGGGAAGGGGATGTGGTAACTAGAACCACTTCCTGCCATTGCAGTGTTGAAAGCCAAGCTCTGTCCAAGTTCCCCTTGATGGGGGTTGGGGAGTCAGGGGGTAAAGGAGGAAGTTGTTGGGAGTGGGGGCAGGGAGGTTAAGAAAAGGAGAATTCTTGTTTGGATTGACTCCAGGAATTGAGATCTGGATTTTCTAGCTGCTCTCTCCCTATTCCCATTTGGTAAAAACAGCTGCTGTCCTGAAGGTGATCCTAATTAACATAGCGGCAAGCACTTACTCTGTGCCAGGCACTTCATATTTGCTAATTCTTTGATCCTTACAAACACCTCATGAAGGAAGCACTATAATTACTCCAATTTTACAGATGGGGAAACTGAGGCAATTAAATGGTTGTGTCAATTGCCCCTTCCACATAGCAAGTGAGTGGCAGAGCTGAGATTTGAACTTAGGCAGCCTGGCTCCAGAGTAAAGGCTCTTGCTCTGTGACCACTATGAGTCTCTGTTTCCTCATTGCATGATGAGGGTAATTGGAATACATAAATACACTTTCCTTTTGTGATGCCTGCCTCTCTGGCAATTAATTATTCATTCAATTTCTCCCCTTGCTGAACTCTCAGTTCCATGAGCAATGAGGCAAAGGCTATCTTGGTCACTACTTGTATTCCCAGTTCTTAGCATAATGACTGGCCCAGAAAAACTCAACATGAATGTGTTGAATAAATGATCTTTAAAAGGTTTGAAGATCATCAACAATGGTTGTTTGAGTGTCTGATAAAAGTTTTAGACCCTTTACATAGAAAAATCAACATATACCATTCGCTGGGAGTGAGTCTGCCCCTCCCACTCGCCCAGGATGAATTTGGCAATGTTTGGTAACATTTCTCGTTGTCACAACTGGCAACTGGGGGAGGTGCTACTGGCATCCAGTGGGTAGAGGTCAGGGATGCTGCTACGCATCCTGCAGTGCACGTGACAGCCCAAAGTGTCAATGGTTCTAAGTTTGAGATATGTGACCTACATACACAGATATATATGTATGTCATATTTGGTACCATTGATGGCAAGTTGGGGGTAGTTATTGGATTTTTCCTAAAAGCCCGTGTCTGCCATCCAGATGAAGATTCCCCCAGACTGGAGGATCTCTTCCTCTTAAATCATATTGCTGTATGACTTCACATTCCCGAGTCTAGAATCCAGTTCCTCGTGGGTCTCCTGTCCTAGCCTCTGATTCCCTAAATGCCTGGGCCTCCTCTCTTACCTTCAGTGGGTAGCAGAGGATCAAAGGGGAAGGATCCAGGTTTTATGCGCTGCCCCTCTCACCGCATCCACCTACTCACGTTTATACTGGGGTCATCCCAGTTCCCTGTAAATGGTAACAAAGATGAAAAGCTTCAGAACCAGGCAGTTCTGGGCTTGAACGCCAGGTCTGTGGATTAACTTGCTCTGTGATCACAGGCAAGCCCCTTAACTCTCTGAGCCTTAGTTTCCGCCTCAAAACAGGAGGGATACTCATTGAACCTACCTTACAGGTGGTAAGGATGAAACGAGAGGCTTATAGATAATTTATTATGGTGCTTTACATAGTAAATCTCAAAAAATGCATTATTATTATTATAGTTCAGATAAGTGACTTGCCCAAGGTCACAGAGCTGGGAAATGGCTGAGCTGGGACTGAAATCCAGGACTTCTTGACTCCAAAGCAAATGTTTATTAGTTAGTGAACTTTAGAACTTCAGCTTTTCTGTAAAGGAAGTTAATTATCTCCATCTCACAGACTCATTTATTAGATAAGCATATAAAGTGCCTGGCACATAGTAGGTCCTTTAAATATGGCTTGTTGGGCTGGGCGCTGTGGCTCATGCCTGTAATCCTAGCACTTTGAGAGCCCAGGTGGGCAGATCACTTGAGGTCAGGAGTTCAAAACCAGCCTGGTCAATGTAGTGAAACCCCATCTCTACTAAAAATACAAAAAAATTAGCCAGGCATGGTAGTGTGCACCTATAATGCCAGCTACTTGGGAGTCTGAGGTAGGAGAATTGGCTGAACTCAGGAGGTGGAGGTTGCAGTGAGCTGAGATCGTGTCACTGCACTCCAGCGTGGGTGACAGAGTGAGACTCCATATAAATAAATAAATAAATAAATAAATACAGCTTGTTGAGTTGTTAGCATGTTTTCCCAAACAGGGCTTTGAAGAAGGTGAATATAGACCCCACCTGACATTGACTGGCTAGGAAGCAAGGAGGGAGGGAGGCTGCTGGTGTGGGGGGCTTGGGAGGGAGGCTTGGCATAAGTGTGATAATTGGGGCTGGAGCTTTGGCTGCATGGAGATGGGCTGGAGAACCGAAAGAGCTCCTAGAGATCGTTTTTCCCCCACATCCTGCCCTGATTTGCAGTTGATGAATCCTAAGCTGAGAAAGGGGAAGGCATTTGGTCCAGGTTACACTGCAGTTTAGAGCCCAGTAACCCAGTCTCCTGATTCCAAGTTGGAATCATAGTCTTTTGGCAGGGTCTGGTCTGTCACCCAGGCTAGAGTACAGTGACATAGTCATGGCTCACTGTATCCTTGACCTGCTGGGCTCAATCGATCCTCTCACCTTAACCTCCCAAAGTGCTAAGATTATAGGAATGAGCTACCGCACCTGGCCTAGAATCTTAGTCTTGGCCTCAGTAATTAAACCAATCACAACCATCCATCGAGGACTTACAACCTACAGTGAACTAAACATTTTATATGTTTGATTTCATTTTATCCTCATGTCAATTTAGGGACAAAGAGTCTCCTCTCCAACTTTATTTATTTATTTTTTTAACGGCTGAGGAAACAAATTCAGAGTGGTAGGACATTTGCCTGAGGTCCTGAGGGAAGAGAGTAAAGTCATGTCTGCTGGTTTTTAGAGACTGCTACTCTCCCCTTTACTACTCTGAAGATTCAGCCTGCCGAAAATACGGGGTTGCCCTGGTGGAATTCCCCAGTCCCTGCCTAGCAGAGCCCACTCCCTCCGCCCCCAGATGAAGCAGGGAGAGGAAGCTGAGTCAAAGAAGACAGAGCCTGGAGTGTGGGGAGGGGTTCAGGGAGGAAATCTGACCAGGGAAGGGGTGTTGGAAAAGGCCAAGGATGGGCCAGGGGGATCCTTAGATTCAGAAAGAAGTCTCAGGGAGTCTTCCATCAATTTCCCTTGGCTGACTACTGGAGGCTTTCAGACAGTGGGATGGGGGAGTCTCCCAGCTTCATCCCCATCCCTCCCTTTCATACAGTTCCCACAAGCTCTGCAGTTTGCAAAACCCTACCCCTCCCCTGAGGGCCTGCGGTTTCCTGTGGGTCTGGGGTCTTGCCTGACTTGGCAGTAGAGACTGTGGGCAGTGGAAAGAGGAGGTGGTGTAAGCCCTTTCTCATGCTAGGGCTGCCACACACACACACACACACACACACACACACACCCGTCCCCTGAGTCAGCACTCGCCTGTCAAGGAGGGGTGGGGTCACAGGAGCGCCTCCTTAAAGCCCCCACAACAGCAGCTGCAGTCAGACACTGCCACCCTCACCATGAGCCTCTGGCAGCCCCTGGTCCTGGCACTCCTGGCACTGGGCTGCTGCTCTGCTGCCCCCCAACGGCGCCAGCCTACCCGAGTGGTCTTCCCTGGAGACCTGAGAACCAATCTCACTGACAGGCAGCTGGCAGAGGTGGGAAAACACCTACTCTGGAGTTGGGGAGGGCTGTCCAGGACAGTGCTGAGTGTCCCAGAGAGGACACAGGGCCTCAGAGGAGATGCTTTAGTGGTGTGTTAGTGGTGATGGGCATATATGAAGAACAGAGGTGTCCAGGGTTAGGCAATGGGGAGTCTTGTGGAGCCTTTGAGCAGTGACGGCCAGAAATGGGGAATGGGGCTTTCCTAGGTGGGAAATGGGAAATGTTTTGGGGTCGGGGAGGCATTGGAGAGTCCTGGGGTAAGCATGGGCTGGGAGTGAACAGGGGTAAACCTTATGCAGCTATGGGGTAGAAATGGGCTAGTGACATCCAGGGGTGAGAAAGAGCTGAGGATGTGTAAGGGAGGGGAGATTCCTGGGTGGTCAGAAAGCACTGGTGTCTGGAAAGCATTTATACTTTATTAAATGCTAGTCCCTGCTGGGCATGGTGGCTCACACCTGTAATCCCAGCACTTTGGGAGGCCGAGGTGGTAGGATCGCTTGAGCTCAGGAGTTTCAGCCCAGCCTAGGAGGCAACATAATAAGATCCTGTCTCTACAAAAAGTTAAAGAAATAGCAAAGCACAGTGGTGAGCACCTGTAGTTCTAGCTATGCAGAAGGCTGAGGTGGGAGGATCGACTGAGTCCAGGAGGTTGAGGCTGCAGTGAGCTATGATTGGGTTCCATTGAATTCCAGCCTGGGTGACAGAGTAAGAGACCTGTCTCTTCAAGAAAACAACAACAAGAACAACAAACAACAGACTCCATGAGCAGAGAAAGGGGTCAGAGCTCTGACATGTGTCTGCCCCTGCCCCCACAGGAATATCTGTACCGCTATGGTTACACTCGGGTGGCAGAGATGCGTGGGGAGTCGAAGTCTCTGGGGCCTGCCCTGCTGCTTCTCCAGAAGCAACTGTCCCTGCCCGAGACCGGTGAGCTGGACAGCGCCACGCTGAAGGCCATGCGGACCCCACGGTGCGGGGTCCCAGACCTGGGCAAGTTTCAAACCTTTGAGGGCGACCTCAAGTGGCACCACCACAACATCACTTATTGGTGAGCCGGGGCTGTGGGGGCGGCGGGGTGGGGCAGGGAGGACCGGTCTGGCTCCTAGGCCAGCGGTGAACATGTCCTGTCTTGGACGTGTCCCTGGGTTTCTCTACTTATTATGTGGCCTGTGGGGGAGCGTCTCCACCTCTGAGCCTCTGTTTTTCCTTCAGGGAAATGGCTCTTGCCATCCAAGTCTTCCTGCCAGGGCCATTGTGAGGGTCTGTATAGAAAACAAAACCCAAAAAACAGTCTGGAAGCGATTTATAGATGAGAGCGTGGAACATTGTGTATGTTGAAGTGCCTGCTGCCCCTCTCCAACCTCTCACTTCTGACCTCTTTCCTCTGGCTCTACCCCTACAGGATCCAAAACTACTCTGAGGACTTGCCGCGGGCGGTGATTGACGACGCCTTTGCCCGAGCCTTCGCGCTGTGGAGCGCGGTGACGCCACTCACCTTCACTCGTGTGTACAGCCAGGACGCAGACATCGTCATCCTGTTTGGTGTTGCAGGTGAGAGCGAGAGGAGGGAAAATCCAGGAGAACTGGGCGGGGTCAGGGAAGGGCCTGTAGGCGGCTGCGGCGCCGGCTTCCTTTTGCCTGATGGCGCTGCCCTGGCTTCTGCGGCCCCTCCCGCCAGATAGTGCGCAGGGCCAGGGCGCCAGGCTCGGAGAGCTTCGCGCAGGCGGGATTTCAGCCCGCATTTATCTCGGAGTCCTTACCGTGGGCAGCGCACAATCTGCGCAGCAGTACTCGGCGAACCCTCTTCCTCTTCACCGGTTTCTCCAGAGCACGGAGACGGGTATCCCTTCGACGGGAAGGACGGGCTCCTGGCACACGCCTTTCCTCCTGGCCCCGGCATTCAGGGAGACGCCCATTTCGACGATGAAGAGTTGTGGACGCTGGGCAAGGGTGTCGGTGAGATCCTGAAGCGTCCTGGCCCCCCGATTCCCTTTTCCTCTCCCTCCCATCACCAGCCGCCCTGACTCTGGTCCCCCTCTTCCCGTAGTGGTTCCAACTCAGTTTGGAAACGCAGATGGCGCCGCCTGCCACTTCCCCTTCACCTTCGAGGGCCGCTCCTACTATGCCTGCACCACCGACGGTCGCTCCGACGGCGTGCCCTGGTGCAGTACCACGGCCAACTACGACAACGACGGCCGGTTTGGCTTCTGCCCCAGCGAGAGTGAGTGTGGGGGCGCGCCGAGGGCTGGGGGCGCCCACCACCCTTGATAGTCCTGGATTCTAATCCCAGCTCTGCCACTAGTGCTGTGTGGCCTGCAATTCACCCTCCCGCATTCTGGGCCCAATTTTCTCATTTGAGAAACGAGGAGAGGAGGGATGAACTGCAGACCGTCCATGGGTCAAAGAACAGGACACACTTGGGGGAAATAATGTGCTCTCTCTGCCTTCTCCCTCTTTCCCACCTCCTCCTCGCCCCAGGACTCTACACCCAGGACGGCAATGGGGACGGGAAACCCTGCCAGTTTCCATTCATCTTCCAAGGCCAATCCTACTCCGACTGCACCACGGACGGTCGCTCGGACGGCTACCGCTGGTGCGCCACCACCTCCAACTATGACCAGGACAAGCTCTACGGCTTCTGCCCCACCCGAGGTACCTCGGCCCAGTCTAACAGGTTCAGCCCCGCCCTCTCATCACGCATTGGCCCCCGAAACGCGGCTCTTCCGCCCATCAGTTTGTCTTTCCACTCTCATTGGTCCTCAGGACGGCCGTGACTCCGCCCACTTCCACCACATTTCCCCCCCCCCCCACCATCTCTGACTTCCAATGGCCCATCTCTGACTTCCAATGGCCCCGCTCCACCACCGAGGCTCGGCCTTTTCTGCTCAGCTGGCAGCCTCTTCCTTGGTCTGGTGTCCCAGACCCCGCCCATGGGTCTAGCCTCGTCTCGAGTGCTCTACAGCGCCCCCTAGGCCACCAAGATGGTCTAGCTCCCTATCGGGTCGGCCCCTGGTTCCCTATTGGTCTCATCTACCTGGCTCATCCAAAGCCTTGGGTCTCTCCAGCCGACTCTACAGTGATCGGGGGCAACTCGGCGGGGCAGCCGTGCGTCTTCCCCTTCACCTTCCTGGGTAAGGAGTACTCATCTTGTACCAGCGAGGGCCGCGGAGATGGGCGCCTCTGGTGCGCTACTACCTCGAACTTTGACAGCGACAAGAAGTGGGGCTTCTGCCCAGACCAAGGTGGGTGGGGTCCTGAGGCTCCGGGGCTGGGGTTCCCGGCTGTGGTGGTGGTGCGGTGGCCAGGGCTAGGGCCTCAGCCCGGCGCTCACATTTCAGGTTCCCTCTCCCTCCAGGATACAGTCTGTTCCTCGTGGCGGCGCACGAGTTTGGCCATGCGCTGGGCTTAGATCACTCCTCAGTGCCGGAGGCGCTCATGTACCCCATGTACCGCTTCACTGAGGAGCCCCCTTTGCATAAGGACGACGTGAAAGGCATCCAGCACCTCTATGGTAAGGCTCTGGGGCAGGGTTGGGAGGAAGAGAGGAAAGGGTGTGTCTGTGGCGCCGTGCCAAAGAATGGGGGTTTGGGGGAGAAACGGGGGGTGCAGGAGAGGTGGGACCTCAACGTCTATCTGGAAGTAGAGCTTGGGCCCAGTCGCTGCCATGTCAGTGCTTAGAGATGGTGTTAAAGAGACTCTAGAGAGAGATAGGCATGGCTTCAAAAGCCAGTCTAGGCTGGGCATGGTGGCTCACGCCTGTAATCCCAACGCTTTGGGAGACCCAGGGGAGAGGATCGCTTGAGCAGAAGAGTTCCAGACCAGCCTCGGCAACACAGCCGGAATCCCATCTCTACAATAAATAAATTAGTCAGGCGAGAAGGCACATGTCTGTAGTCCTAGCTATTCTGGAGGCTGAGGAGGGAGGATCCCTTGAGCCCAGGAGTTCGAGGCTATAATGAGCTATGATTGCACCACTACACTCCATTCTGGGCCATAGAGGATGTCGGAAAAAAAAAAAAATGTCTTCTGGTGTTGGGAAAGGCAGGCTGAGTGAGAAGGAGTCTGTGTGCCAGAGGGGGCCTCACTGAGCAGCTTTGGGGAGCAGATGTTCTAGGGGCGCAGAGGTATGCGGGAATAGGGAGTGTCTCATCACATGTCTCTTTTTAGGTTCTCGCCCTGAACCTGAGCCACAGCCTCCGACCACCACTACACCGCAGCCCACGGCTCCCCCTACGGTCTGCCCCACCGGACCCCCCACTGTCCGACCCTCAGAGCGCCCCACAGGTCCCCCCTCAGCCGGCCCCACAGGTCCCCCAACTGCTGGCCCTTCTGCGGCCACTACTGTGCCTTTGGATCCGGTGGACAATGCCTGCAATGTGAACATCTTCGACGCCATCGCGGAGATTGGGAACCAGCTATATTTCTTCAAGGATGGGTGAGGAGGCAGGGATGTGTGGATGCGGGAGGGGGCCTGGTGGAGGGGATGCCCGTCCCTCCCCGCCCACTGGCCCTGGGTGCAAGGCTCAGAGCCCGTCCTTTCCCTCCTCGCGTCCTCAGGAGGTACTGGCGATTCTCTGAGGGCAGGGGAAGCCGGCCACAGGGCCCCTTCCCTATCGCCGACACGTGGCCCGCCCTGCCCCGCAAGCTGGACTCAGCCTTTGAGGAGCCGCTCTCCAAGAAGCTTTTCTTCTTCTCTGGTTAGTTCTCTTCTCCCCGTCCGCCGCCGCGTCAATCCCCATCAGTCAAGGAGGCCTAGGAGACCATCGATAACCCACGAAAAGTCTTGTGCGTTTTAGAAAAAGACGCCCCCTGGCGGACGCAGTTTAGCAAACGTCGGGGCGGCTGAGTTTCTGCCCCCTCCTCTCCACGCCCTCGAGCCCCCGGACCCAGCGCCTCTGGCCCTGCAGTGCAGAGACTGCGGGCACGCGGGCTAGGAAAGGCCTCGCTGGGATCTCCCTCCTCGCGTTCTAGAAGAGTGCGTGCGCTCTCTGCGTCCCCAGACCGAAGTGACCCTACTCCCCTGCAGGGCGCCAGGTGTGGGTGTACACAGGCGCGAAGGTGCTGGGCCCGAGGCGCTTGGACAAGCTGGGCCTGGGCGCCGACGTGGCCCAGGTGACCGGGGCCCTCCCGCGCGGCTCGGGGAAGATGCTGCTGTTCAGCGGGAGGCGCGTCTGGAGGTGAGAGCTGCCGCGGCTGCCGGCAGGGGGAGCCCGGGCGCCGTCCGCCGCCCGCCCGCCGGCTCAGCACCTGTCTCTTCGGTGCCCGCCCGCAGGTTCGACGTGAAGGCGCAGATGGTGGATCCCCGGAGCGCCAGCGAGGTGTACCAGATATTCCCCGGAGTGCCCTTGGACACGCATGACGTCTTCCAGTACCGAGGTGAGGGCTGAAGATGAGAGCAGGGGAGGGTCCCTTCATGAGACACCGCGCTAGGCTCCTCTGTCTTAGTGATTGGTCAAATTCTGAGCGGGAAGAAAAAGCCCTTGAAAATGGAAGCAAGTGCCTCAGCCCGGATAAGATCCCAGTAGAGGCAGCGGCCTTCTCCAGGTCATATAGGAAGTCAGGGATGCAACCAAGACCAGGACCCAGACTTCCTGCCAACCCGGCTGGAAGCTCTTTCCCCTTCAGTACAGGACACAGGTGGTTTGCATGGAAGCTTATTTGACAATAGTCATGAAGTGCTGACAATGTGCCAGACAATGTGCTACAGCGAGAGATAAGACAATTCACAGCTGTGTGACTTTGGGCAAGTCACTGGTTCTCTTCGCTTAGAGCCTCGGTTTCCCCATCTGTAATATGGGGATGATAGCTGGAATTACACTTGACTTCCCTTTCTCCTCAATCACATCCAAACAGTTGACAAGGTGAACAAAATTTTCTGCCACTAAAATCTTTTTTTCAGTCTGTCTTTTGCCATCTTCTTTATAAACACCCCAGCCCAAACCATACTGGTTGTCCAGGACCTTTAACATATTCCATGAGGTTAGGGAGGGGGTAGGAGTGGAGGGCAATAGTCTTGGGAGTGACCCCAGATCCATTCCAAGGTCAAAGAAACTAACTGGATCTGACCCTGTGTTCTCATCTCTTCCCACTACTCCTGCTATTTACTCTGCTCCACCCACACTGGCTGCTCTTTGAACAGATCAAGGACATTCCCAGCTTAGAGCCTTTGTGCCAGTTGTTCCCTCTGTCTGGAAGGCTTTCCCTCCAGATTGTCACCGGGCTGTCCCCCATCTTCCTTCAGGTTTCAGTGCTAAGGCCACTGCTTCAGTGAGGCCTTCTCTGATGCTTATTATCTATTTACTTGTGTTCATTTTCTCCATAGCTTTCTCTATTTTCAAAAACAATCTTATTTATTTATATGTTGGCTTGTTAATTGTCTCTTGCCTCACTAGAGTGTAAGCACTAAGATAAATGAGATCATGCCTGCATTTTTTTCTGCTTACCCCTAGTGTCTTGAACAGAGCACATAGTAGGTGTTGATGAATGAACAATACATACTTGTTGATGAATGAACAGATTTGTTCAATGAATGAGCGTTGAATGGATTGTTCTGAGCATTAAGATAGTTGGTCTACTCATTTGCTAGTTCATTCACAAAAATGCATATATTGTACCTACTGTGTGCTAGGCTCTGTGGCAGTGATTTGGGCCTTGAGGTCTGTGCCCTCCAGCATTTCACAGACAAGGGGGTGGGGGGGATGGAGGTGTTACGTGAAAACCTTAGAAAGTTTTAGAAGTGGCAGAAGAGATGGTTGTAAAGAACTTGTTCCTATTTCTGTACATGTGGGAGAATTAGAATCACTCCTCTCATGCCTTCCCATCTCCTGCAGAGAAAGCCTATTTCTGCCAGGACCGTTTCTACTGGCGTGTCAGTTCCCGGAATGAGGTGAACCAGGTGGACCAAGTGGGCTACGTGACCTATGACATCCTGCAGTGCCCTGAGGACTAGGGCTCCCATCCTGCTTTGGCAGTGCCATGTAAATCCCCACAGGGACCAACCCTGGGGAAGGAGCCAGTTTGCTGGATACAAACTGGTGTTGTGTTCTGGAGTGCAGGGAGGAGTGGCGGTGGGCTGGGCCCTCTCTTCCCACCTTCCTTTTCTGTTGGAGTGTTTCTAATAAACTTGGATTATCTAACCTTTAGAAGCAGACTTTATTTATATATGTATGCACGTATGTATGTATGTATGGGTTTAACTGACAGAATGCAAAAGAAAAAGAAAAACAAATAACTGATAGAGTGCAAAAGAAAAAGAAATAGCTGATAGAGTGCTTTCTACATGCCAGAAAGTGTTCTAGGAGCTGTAATTGTTAACATATTCAATCCTCCCTATTAGGAAAGTATGATGTGATTATTTCTATTTTATAGTCAAGGAAATGATTAACCTATTTGATGAATATTCATCAAACATTTATTAAGCCCCTACATAGAGCCAGGCCCTGTACTGGGCACTGGGGATAGAGAAATGAGTTAGACTTTAGAATGCATAAGATTGCCCTTGGAACTTGCTTAAAATGAATATAACTCCAGGCTCCACCTCCAGAGAGTCTAACTTATTTACAAGGGTCATTCTATGGCTGGTGGGGGTGGGATCACACTTGGGGAGTGTGCAGTGTATGATCTTTTGTTCAATAATGATGAAGTGTATGTGTGTGTGTGTGTGTGTGTGTGCGCGCGCGCGCGCGTGCATGCGCGTGCGTGCGTGTGTGTGTCTATGTGTTGTGGTTGAGGTCCAGGAACGTTTCTCAGTCAAGATGACATCTGAAGTGGAATTGACTCAAGAAGGATGAATGAGAGCTTCTTCTTGTGCAAGGGACAGTCCTTCTTAGAGGGTAATTTACTAAGAACCACTAAACCTAAAAACGTAACTACTTTCTGACCCTCACACACATGTTCAAGACAACACATAGAAGGATGTTGACTGCGGCATTGCTTGTTAGTGAAAAACTGGCAATAACCTAGGTGCCCAGTAGTAAGGCGTGGATAAATAAAATATGGGTCATATACCTGATGATAGTAGCTACCCCTTGTACAGCACGATGTAACAGGCACTGTTCTATGTGCATTATGTGTGATAAAACAAGCAGATGAGATAGGTACTCCTATTACTTTGTAGGTACTATTATTGCTGCCATCACCAAACCCTTGTTTTACAGATGAGGAAACTAAGGCACAGAGGATTACACAGCTCACCCAAAGCCTCACAGCTAGTGAGTGGTAACGTGGGATTTGAATGTGGGTTCTTGGTGCAAGTGCTGGGAGAATAAAAAGCAGTGGCTGTCTGGAGAACTTCAAATGGCTCAGAACTCGAGCGTGGGGTAGTAGCAGGTAGATGAGGGGGAATGGAGATGATTCTGGAATGGTTAAGATAGGAGTGCTAGTTTGGGCTAGATGAGAGAAGTCCTGAATGCCAGGCTGAGTATGCATTTGACCTTCAGGATCAAAATCAGCAAAGGGACTTTATTGAAAGATTGGGGCCCATGAGTGGAGGTGATGGGTTTGATCAGAGATGATCATCTGGACCCGGAGCCCACATGGGAATTTTTTTTTTTTTGAGACAGAGTCCTGCTCTGTTGCCAGGCACCAGGCTGGAGTGCAGTGGCGCAATCTCGGTTCACTACAACCTCCACCTCCTGGGTTCAAGCAATTCTCCTGCCTCAGCCTCCCAAGTAGCTGGGACTACAGGCGCGCAACACCATGCCCACCTAATTTTTGTATTTTTTTTAGTAGAGAGGGGGTTTCACATGCTGGCCAGGATGGTCTCGATCTCTTGACCTCATGATCCACCCGCCTTGGCCTCCCAAAGTGCTGGGATTACAGGCGTGAGCCACTGTGCCCAGCCACCCACATGGGAATTTAAGGAGGAGTCCAGAGAACTGCCCTCCTGAGTTTCCTCTCTCATCTGTTTCTTGCTCACCAATGACCCACTCCCACTGGTATACAGACATTCCCCGCCATGGCTTGTTTACAATCTCTCTTAACTCCTGTTTCCCTGTAGATAGTAGTCCATTTCTCTACCCTTCCCACCCCTATTTATGAGAAAACTTCCCAAAAGCATGGTCTCTACTCACTGCCTCCACTTTCTCAATCCCCATTCTCTCCTCAGCCATTTCCAGCCTGACTCCCACCCCACTACACCACCAAAGTCACCCTCTTCAAAGCTATTTGTGACCTTCTTGTAGCCAGATATGACAGGAGCTCCTCTCTGCTCATCCCACACCAACTCTCCCTACATTGACATAGTAGATCCTGTACTTCCTCCTGAAACTCCTGGCTTCTGGAACCTTACTTCCGGGTCTCCTCCTACCTCACTGGGTGGATCTTTCTCTTTCCGGTGACAAAGGCACCCTTGTGCTCAATCCTGGGAATTCTCTGCTCTGTGTATACTCATTCCCTGTGATGTCTGGTAGCCCACAGCCTTTTTTTTTCTTTTTCTTTTTTTCTTGTTTTGCATCTTGGTGGTCATATTTACTGGAAGAGCTTGAGAAAAATGAAAATACCATTTAGCTTAAGAAGTTGTGGGTTACTGCAAATCAACTCATTTCAGGAGTGGAAGAATCCCTGGAATTATTTCTTAGTATCAAAATGTATGCAGGTTTCTCTTTTGAATGTCTTGTACATTTAGAGAGGCCATTGTACAAAGTCTCCTGTTTTCCCTACAGAACAAATTCTTTGTTTCGGTCAACTCTCAGTGGAGGGGCAACCAAGACAACGCCATCTCCCCGTACAAAGAGCACTGGAATATTCCGTTTGTTGATTTATATATCTCTTCCTTTGTTTCGTCATCAATTTCTATAGTACTTACAGTTTCTTCCACATCTCCCAAGATCACATTTAAATGTTGATCATAAGCATGTAATCTGCCTCGAAGCTCTCGGCCATTTCTCATTTTCACATAAATTCGCTCATCTAGGCTGAGCCTGATAAGATCCAGGGGCTCCTCTGCAGTGTTGGTAGTTTTTTGCTCATCTACATCGTCTGCCATGTTTCAAATAGCCTCAAATAGCATCTCTCTGCTAAAGACCTGACATTTACATTCCCTGCCTTAACCTCCTCTCCCCTGCCCCAAGCTCCAGACTCCCATGTTCAACTGCCTACTCCACATTGCTCTTTAGCTGCCTAACAAGCTTCTTGACCTAACAGGTCCAAATGGAACTTCTGGGCTCCACCTTCCAAACGTGCTCCTCTGTTTTTAACTACCTTAAAAAGAGACCACATCATCCACCCTCAATCAAGCTGAACACCTAATCAGTCCTAAAATCTAGGAATCAGTTATTTAAACTTCTTTTCTAGTTCAGGGCTTCTCAGCCTCTACACTATTGACATTTTGGGCTGGATCCTTTGTGGGGGATTGTCTGACGCTACGTCTACCCTGTACCTTGTAGCATGTTCGATGTCTTCCCCTAGGAGGTGGCAGGATCCATGGCCGGATGCCAAGCCCATTCAGGGTCAGCCCCCTTTGCTAAGAAAGGCCCCAGTATGGGGATAGGGTGCAGCAGGGTAATGTTGAACTGTGACTCACGGCCAGGCAGCCCTGGTACAAACCCAGAGGGCCCAAGAGGCCTTTAGCCCCTAGATGTTACCCCCCGCTCCAGTTGTGATAACCAAAAATGTCTCTGAATATTGCCAAACGTTCCCTGGTGGCAACATTGCCCCCAGTTGAGAACCATTGCTTTAATATAATAAATATACAAAGGTAGCTTCATAAGTGTACATTTGAAGACATTTTCATAAATGGAACACAAGTGTATAACCTGCACCAAGTCAAGAAACAAGAGACTGGGCATGGTGGCTCATGTCTGTAATCCCAGCACTTTAAGAGGACAAAGCAGGTAGATCGTCTGAGGTCAGGAGTTCGAAACCAGCCTGGCCAAAATGGTGAAGATTCGTCTCTACTAAAAATACAAAAATTAGCTGGGTGTGGTGGTGGGCACCTGTAATCCCAACTACTTGGAAGACTGAGGTAGGAGAATTGCTTGAACGGGGAGGTAGAGGTTGCAGTGAGCTGAGATCATGCCACTGTACTCCAGCCTGGGTGACAGAGTTAGACTTTGTCTCAACAACAACAAAGAAAGAAATATTATGTTGTCAGCACCCTAGAAGCCTGCTTGCAATCACTACCTCTTCTCCCCAAGGGGTACCACTATCATTACTTCTAACAGCTTAGACTTTGACTATTTTTGTACTTTATTTAAAATAGTGTCATAGGGTATGTTATTCTTTTGGGTCTGGGCTCTTTTTCTCAAGGTTCTATTTGTGAGATTCATCCATATTGTTCTGAGAATTGTGATGATATTCCATTGTGTGAAGGTACTACAACTTATTTCTCCATTTTACTGTTGACAAACATTTGGGTAGATCCCAAGTTGGGGTATTATGAACACTGCCCCAGGAACATTCATGTAAATGTCTTTTGGTGATCATGGGCAGTCATTTCTTTTGGGTATATACCTAGAAGGAAAACTGCTGGGTTGAAGGATGTGTGTATGTTCAGCTTTAGCAGATGTTACCAAACAGTTTCCCAAAGTAGTTTCTGCCTAACTACACTCCCACCAGCGATGTGTGAATTGCCAGGATTTCTCCTTGACTTCACTCTTATGGTCATGCGCCACATCCGATCCATCAGCAGGTGCTGATGGTTTCACTTTCAAAACCTAACTGGAATCAGGCAACTGCCACCACTCTAGTCTGGCTGTCACCACTCCCCAGCTGGGGGTCTGCAGGAACCTCCTAATTAGACTCTCAGCTCCATTCTTTTTTTTTTTTTTTTTTTTTTTTTTTTTGAGGCTCTGTCACCCAGGCTGGAGTGCAGTGGCTTGATTTTGGCTCACTGCAACCTCTACCTCCTGGTTTCAAGTGATTCTCCTGCCTCAGCCTCCCAAGTAGCTGGGATTACAGGCATGTGCCACCACGCCCAGCTAATTTTTGTATTTTTAGTAAAGACAGGGTTTCACCATGTTGCTCAGTATGGTCTCGAACTCCTGACCTTGTGATCTGCCTGCCTCGGCCTCCCAAAGTGCTGGGATTACAGGCGTGAGCCACTGTGCCTGGCCCTTGCCATTCTTTAGTTGAGCCTTCACCCAGCAGCCAGAATTATCCTGTTAAATTATAAATCAGATCACATCATTCCCCTGCTCAAAAAATCCAGGCTCCTCCCCAAAGCCTTCAGAAGACCACATGATCTGCCCTTCTGTCTTCCCTCATCTCCACTCAGTCTCTTCCAGACACAATGGCCTTGCTGTTTCTTGGACAGTTGGGGTTCCTTCTCACCCCAGGTTTCTGCACTTGCTGTTTCTTCTTCTAGAGAACTCTTCCCCCTAGATGTCTGCATAGCTGTCTCTTCTCATCAGTGAGGTTTCAGCTCAAATACCACATCTTCTAGACCACCCCTCAAGTAGTCTTCCCTCCTACCCATTATCCCATGGCCCTATTTTTAAACATACACTCAATCTCGGATGATCTCATCTATGAGTTTGCTCACGTATAATCTTTCTCTCCTTATTAGAATTTAAGCCACGTGAGGGCGAGAAGCCAGTGGATCTCATTAACAGACGTATCCCTCGCACTATTACCTGAAACACAGAAGTGCGATCCACATGTGCTGAATGAATGAATGAGTCGCAGGTGTTTAGGAAGACCCTAGCAGAGGTGCTCCCATTGTAGGGACGACTCTCACCTGCAGGTGGTCTCCTCAGGCCCTTCGGGTGGCACTGGGAGCACAGGGCCTCCCATCGAAGTGGCCAGATTCAGGAACCCTCCGCACAGCGGGCACTAGGACCCTGCGCAGCGCCGCGTCTGGCAGGGGGCGGCGGGTTGGGGGTGGGGGGGATCCGCTCTTTCTCCCTCCTAGAGCCCGGCTGCAGCCACTTGTGCGATCCGGGCCCTCGCCGCGGCCGCCTGGCCTCTTTCCGCGCCATGAGCCGCAGGTTCACCGTCACCTCGCTGCCCCCGGCAGGGCCCGCCAGAAGCCCTGACCCGGAGTCCCGCCGGCATTCGGTCACAGACCTCGACCACCTCCCGGGGGAAGACGTCAAAGGTAGAGGCCGCAGGGGGCGGGGCTTGCCGGTGCCGGGCGGGGCGACGAGGGGGAGGGGCCGGGGCAGACCGTCTGTTGGAGGGGGCGGGACCAGGACCGGAGGCGGGGAGGGGTCCCAGCTCTAGGCCTGAGAGGGGAACGGAGCCGGGACCAGGAAACCGTGAAGGGGAGGAGCCAGACGTGAGGTGGGCGTGACTACAAGGGAAAGGGGTGGGGCCAGGGAAGGAGTTGGGGGCGGAGGCGAAGGGGGCGGGTTTGGTGATGGAAGGGCGGGGGGTCAAGGCGGAGACTAGGCCGGATGGCACTAAAGGGGCGGGGGCATCTCGAGTAGGGAGCCGGATCAGAGCTGGGAGGTGGCACTAGGAAAAGAGAGGGCTGTGTGTTGAAGCAGGGTGGTCAGGAGCCCCTAAAAGGGAGGCGGCGGGACTAGGTCGGTTTGGGGTCAGGAAAGGTCAGGACCCGTGGGAAATGAGTTGGGCCAGGAGGATGGGAATAGGGCCAGGGAGAGGGATAGGGTCGAGGGCAGGAGGAAAACTGAGTCAGGGTTGCGGAGGCAGGTGCCGGGTCAGCGGGTCCTCGGTGCCTGGCAGGTCCTCCAATCCTCTACCTCACTGGAGGCGTGGCGGACAGCGACTGGGGATCCCGGGAAGGAGACAGGAGGCAGGGAAGTTAGTGTGACCCCTAGTGTGGAAGCTAGATCCAGGGAGGATGCCATAGGGTCGCTGATCCCGACCCTCGAGGACCCACTTAGCTCCTTGTCTGCTCCAGCTCCGTAAGAGTTGGTAGAAGCCGGCATAGGCGAGGTTGGGGCGTCTTCCTCGCAGGCCCTGTGCAGGGGTCTTGTAATGGAAGTTACACGCAGGGCACAGAGTAGAGGGGAAGGGAAAGATCCTTTTGGCTTTCGATGAAGTAGCATCCTGGGTGCGTGCACAGTGTCCCCGCAGGGGCACTCATCAGGGGACCTCTCCCTGGCTCTTAGGCCCTCGGGTCTGGAAGGAACAAGGAGAATCGGCTTGTAGTGGCCCCAGCAAGGGGAGGAGGAGGAGGAGGAGGAGGAGGAGGAGGAGCCTCCCCAAGCCGCCAGGGGTCGCTGCCGAGCCGCAGGTGAGCTCGCCCCGAAGCTAACCCAAGCGCCGAAACCCCTAGAGTAGCCCTTAGCGGGTTATCTGGCGAACCTCCTCATTGTACGCATGACCAAATTGAGGCCGAGAATTTCGAAGGGCTCAGTCTCGTGAACCCAACGCCTCCTGGTTGTGACCACTTGGATTTCTTGGGCTCCTGCTATTCTTCATCTTTCTCATAATCCATCTCTTTACTCATTTTTATGAATGATCTTACCAGCCTCCCAGATTCGAAAGTCAGAAATTGTGGAGCCATCTCAACCCTTCCTTTTCTCTTTCCAGCAAATCCACTGGTCCTCACGTCTTGTCCATTCATCTCTGAAACTTACCCTGAATCTGGCAGCATGATCCCCCTCTGTCATCATCACCCTGCTCCAAGCCTCACGTGGCCATGACCACATCCTCTCCACTGGCCTCCCTGCCTCCAGTCCTGCCCTAGCCCTCCTCCACAAAAGCTCTCCATCACTTGCAAAATAAAGGCCAAATCCCTAAGTCTGTCATTCTCTTTCCTCATTTGCTTCTGGTGTTCTTGTCCACATTCATTCTCCCACCTCCATCAGCCAGGAAAACTCCTACTCATTTTGTAAGTTATAGCTCATTTAACCTTTTCCAAAAACTGTTTTCAGTTTCCTCTTCGACCCACCCACTGCACAATTAGTGCACTCGTCCTAGGGGATGGCAGTCATTTTCTTTACTTATGGGTATCCTCCATCGGAACATCTCAAGGACAGGGACCAACCATTTCCTTTATCTTTGTGTTTTGAGTTCCAGACCTGGAGCCTGACACTTGGCACCTACCAAGTCATAATGCTCATCAGAGAAGAGAAGGGTGGCTGTGGGATTCTGCTTCTCTACTCCTGCCTTCTCTTCTCTCACTCCCCATCCCCTGGCTTAGGAATAAGACAGCCCTCTCTCCTGTCCTAAGGTGTTTGCTGTTTTCCCATTCACACTCTCAGGCTCCTGCACAGTTGAAGTGAAACACAACCCCCAGGCTTTGCGTGTGCAGGTGTGTGTGAGCCTGGAATGCTGTGTGCTGTGGCAGGGGCTGTGTGTGTGTGTGTCTCATGGGAGGAGCATCCCCCATTGGTTCTGATGACCTGTGGTGTGGTCAGTGACTCAGTCAGTTCTTTTATTTGTCACTGTATTGGCAGCATGTTGAAGGGTGTGCAAATGTGTGCATTTCTGCATCTATCTGAGAGGTGGGTACCTGTGTGCAGAATTATATTGGAAGTTCCATCTGGACAATGATTTGGGTGACTTTTAACCTTTTAAACCTGAAACAGCCTCAAGCACCTCCTCTTTGGTAGATCACCACATGGGAAAGTAGACAAGGTCTCCTCAGGGGAACCCAGCATCTGGTGGTATCTTCCCCACAGCTGTTCTTGTATCAGTCCTCCGGCCCAATAGATTCTCTTCCCACTTCTTGTCCTCACCCAAAGGAAGGGATGGCAGCACACCTATGATTGGGAAAGGTTATGGGGGAGATGGCATGTGTGTGTGTGTGAGATTATCTTTTATTCTGGGCCAAAGGAGCAGGGTTTGCCAGTTGGGGTGCTTTCTGCTGCCAGAGTATGAGCTATAGGTGAGAACATGACTTACAGGGAGTGAAAGAAGCAAGGCGAGGCCAAGCCTCAAATCTAGCACTAACCCTGGATTGTGAGCCACACACCTCACTTGCTTCACCTGTCATGGGAGATTGATTGATGGCTACGGATGAACAGAAGTAGACCTGGTGACAGTTGTTACAACTCTGAGATGCTCCCCTATTCCTTTACCTGATCCCCCACTGTGCCTCGGTTTCTCAGGGAGTCAGGGCCCTAAAAAGAGCCATGGGCCTGGTAAGACTAACAGGAATTGGGCTGTGTCCCCATGGAGGGGGAGGGAGCTAACTTATGCTGGAAGGATGGAGCAAGACCACAATATAGCCCATCTGTGTCCCAGCTCAGACTCTGTTGTATGACCTTGGGCACACTGCTTCCCTTCTCTGGGCCTCAATATACCCATCTGTAGTATAAAGGAGTTGAACAGGAAGCTATCTAAGGGTTCTTGTAGCCATAAAAATGCTAAGATTTTGTGACGATTTGAAAGGATGAAGCTCTCTGCCTCCTCTAGACCCTAACTCATGTTTCACTCTCTCCATCTGTAAATTGGGAAGAATAATGCTGTTGTTGATATATATATATCGGATCTGGAGATCTCCAGTCATCCCATCCCCAAGCCAGAACTCAGAACCACACTGCCCAGTACCTCAGCCCAAGGTGAGACCCAGGAATCTCCATGGCAACAAACTGGTTATGAACGGGGCTGCAGTTGCCATGGTGACAGGCTGCTCTTTCTTTCTCTCTCTCTCATCCCCATCCTCTCCCCTCCCCTCTTCTCAATGAACCAGAGCGATCTTTAGGCCTCAGTTCTCCAGGTGGGGTGGGGGTGGGGGGTGGGTGCAGTGAGAAAGGGGTCCGGATTGGGAAAGAGGGAAGATGGGCTGACTCTGCAGGGGAATGAGGGGCTGTTGGGGTGCTGTTGCTATGGTGATGGGCTGCAGCCTGTTAATTAAACCCCTGGTTGCCACGGAGACGGTGGTGGTTGACGTGCTCCACAGTGAGCCCTGTGTGTGTGGGGTGTGCTTTGCACTGGACTTATCAATTCACCGCTAAGGTTTTGGGTCCAAGGATGGAGCATGTGGGTGGGAGAGAAGAAGAGTGAAGGAGGGCCTTCAGGGCCTTGGGCCTATGAGGCCACAGCTAGGGGTGGGTGGGTTAGGTTGTGGGGATAAGGCAGTGGAGATGAGAGGGAGAGGGATTGAGCCATAAGGGGGAATGCTATGCCTGCCTCCTGTGAAAAGAGGACCCAGTCCAGTGACTCTAGCTTCCTCCAGACAGCCCCTAATTCTGGTTCAGTGGATGGAGTCCTGGGCAGGAGGTCAGGGGACTGAATTCTAGTCCCCAGTCTTTTACAAGTTCACCACATGAAGAAAATGTGAACCTTTCCATTTTCAGACTCCAATTACACAATATGTGGAGAATGGAAAAAATAATTTATATTGTTTCTTCCAGTTCCCAAATTCTGACACTCAGGAGGCAGCTTCTCTGAGCTTTTTTCTCTCTGAGACATATGGTGGGAGGGGGTATGAGTTTGAGAGACTCAGAGTTTAGAAATAGGACCCTCCCTAGCTCTGAATCTTGTGCTGCTTTAATGAGAGGGTTTCCCTGGCCCCAGATCTCCCTAGGGTTCTTGGTGGGGAGGGGATGCTGTGCTGGCAGCCAGATTCCTGGGGCTGTGAGCTGCAGGTCACCTTTTCCTGGCCAGTGCCAGGCTGGCAGTGTAGCAGATTCCTGCCATGTGTTTCTAAACCTCACCACAGAGAGTCAGCTGGAGGCCAAAATAGGGCACAGTCTTCCTGAGAGGTGAGAGTGTCAATGAAGGGGCTGGGATCTACCCCTGGGACTGTTTGTTCACTTGGTATGGCCCCCTCAGGAAGGGATATGTGGCTTTGGTCTGAGATTAGTAGAGAGAGCACTAAGAGTTTTAAGAGCAGGAAGACGCGCCATGGATTATGCAACCTAACTCACTTTTACAGATGGGATACTGAGGCCCACAGAGAGAAGTCCAATTTTGCCCAGGAATACACAGAGAATTTGGGGGCAGAGGATACGATAGAACCACTATCTTTTGAATCTCAGATGGCCCTTGAGATGGGAACTCTAGTGAAGGTGGACAGATGGGTTACCCAGGAGAAGAGGAATCACTACTGCCTTCACCTATATTCCCTAGAATCCTCATACATGCGTCCAGTCCCTGAGTGGCCAAAGCTGGACCACAGATGAAGGAAAGTAACCCCAGGGGAACATGCAGACTTGGGATTGCTGAAAAACCTCAGCATATTCATTCCACAGCACTTCTCAGAAAAACATGCTACACGTGTTTTACTGTGTTATGCATCTCTGCAGAGTAGTAGACCACAGTGCTGCTGCTGCTGCTGTTGCTACTGCTGGTGTGTGTGTGTGTGTGTGTGTGTGTGTGTGTGTGTGTAGTGGAATGCTTAAAAAATTTTGAACACTGGCCTTCTCATCTGCTATTCTTTTAACCTCTGTCACCAAACTTGTCTTACCCTTTCGGTGGTTTTCTTTTTGGGAGAGCCAAGGATACCCATGCCCACAACTTGTCTGAATAGCTAACTCTTCACCCTAAAGGGTCCTTCGGGTATCCAAAAAACCAAGTGGCAGCGATACTTGGTTGGTAGGTCCCTCAGAGGCATCTTTGAGCCAGCTGCTGAAGACTCCACGGTTGACCCAAACTGAAGCCACTGACAAATTTATCAATACAAGTAAAGCGGAGACCTGGGTCCTGTCCATGGTTCTGAAAAAGTGCTGTCCTGTATTCTGGTCTCCAGGTATATGAATGGCTCTTTAGGATCCTTGCAGGTTTTCTGGAGGCTTCCCCTTCAGTTGCAAGCCAAGAGTCCATTCTAGCCCTGCACTTCTGAAGCCTGAGCACAAGAAAAGGAAGAAAGCGCATCTCAGACCTAGTCCCTGTTTCTTTTATTTTCTTTTTTCAGGAGCGAATGATCAGCAGCTGCTGAGGGGCTTGGGTATGACTGCACCCTTGTCTCTTTTATGGAGGCAAGACAGATTTTATAAGTTCTGTTGATGACATGAGTCCTAAACTGGAGTGAGGCAAACTGGATGCTAGACCAAATTCTGCCATTCCCTGGCATTATGTCCACAGCAGTCATTTTCCCTCTATGGGCCTTAGTTTTTTCATCTGTGAAATGAAAGCTGTGTGTAAGATACAATGACTGATCCTTTCCCAATCCTAGAACTCTTCTGAAATTTAGAGGATGAGCGAGAGAGCTAGTGTGAGTCTGAAAATTGTTTACCTTGATCAGCTCCCGCCCTCAGATGTTTAGATCTTCCAGAGACTGAAAGCTTGCAAACCTCTGATGCCAATTCCTGAGACATCTGCACCACTGGCTCAAACCTGGACCCTAGGGGTGCTGAGGGGTCCCAGGATGATCAAGCTTTTGGAGGATTGGCCTGGGTGGGGTGGGGGGGGGAGGAGGACAGAGAACATGTAGGCTCTGGAAGCCTCAGAAAGCAATCCTGGATTAGGGGATTAGATACTTCTGCCCCAGGAGAAAATCTGGTCTCAAAACGACAGGCGGCCTCATTCCCCCCTCCCCCACTCTGTCCCTGGCCAGCCTCGGGACCGGCCTGTCCTCCCTAGAGGCTGCACCATCCCTGGTGGAAAGTCAGTGCTCCCTGGAACCTCACTGCTGCCTCTTCTCCTCCTTACCAGGTCTTATCCCTAGATCAGTCTGCAGTCAGAAGGTCCCTGGCTGTGGGCTCCAGGGAGTTGTCTTGGGAGTGGGATGCTAGGACTCCTGTCAGTCTAAGCACAATGAGAGAGTTCCTTGTAACTCCTCAGGCGCTACCGCCCTCCATTTTAAGACAGGTTGGGTCAGTCAGCCCAGTGACCTGAATGCCCCTGGGGGTAGCACATTGCTTTAGTTATGGGCCCTGGGCTCTAGCTCCAATCTCTTAAACAGTGGTATGAAAGAGGGTCTGGCTCTCCTCCCCAACTTCGGGGTTGGCCTCTCCAGTCTTGCAGAGAGGCTTCCCAAGGGCCCCATATTCCATGGCGCACCTCCATGGCCACTTCAGTGCCCTTTATCTCCCCCCTGGGGGTTACCACAGACCCCCAGTTGGGCAGCCGCTGCGGGGCCGCCTCCCTGCGGCCGCGACCTAGTTCCCTGCCGTTATTTTTAGGGCGCGGGATGGCACCTGCCCACGTGCCGGGCCCCGCCCGGAGAGTGGGTGGGGGGGAGCTGCGTCTGCTTAAGGGAGGCGAGGCCCTGTCCCCTGAAGCACCCCCTACATCCCACCCACGCAATCCCCCAGTTTTCTTGCAAGGGGGCCACTAGTCGCGCTCTGCCCGCCCCTCATCTTCTCTTCTCCCTCCCTCCCGCTCTCCCCCCCAAAACCCCGCCAGTGGCTCACGCCTCCTGCATACGGGATGAGGTGAGCAGCGCCGCTGCTGAGAGGGGGCGCGCGCGGGTGTGAGCGTGTGTCCGTGTGCGAGTGTGTGTGTGCGCCGGGCGGGCGGGCACTGCAGCTTCTTCCTCCGTGGAGCGGAGAGCGAGAGCGAGCTAGAGCGAACGAGAGAGCAGCGAAGGCAGGCAGAGGGGCGCAGGCGAGGCGGCGCAGCCATCCCCGGACCAGGGGCCGCGCCGCCACCATGCTAAACAACCTGACGGACTGCGAGGACGGCGATGGGGGAGCAAACCCCGGTAAGCTGTGGTCCGGGGGCGGCGGGGGAGGGAGCAGCGAGGAGAGGAGGCAGCTCTGGGGTTAGAGGCGGAGCGGGGGCCACCTCCTTCAGAGGGGAGGGTGGGACTGACCCAGGCGGTGGGCGCCGGCAGAAGCCTGGAATGCAGCTCCATTGGAATGCTCCGGCCGCTGTCCAAGGTGCTGGAATGCGCCGCGCCCGGGGGCAGAGCTGGGGGCCGGGGGATTGTCGCTGTCCATGGCTTCGGGCCGACTTGGGTTAGCTAAACCGAGGAGGTGGTGGGAAGGGGATAGAAGAGCTAGAATGGGCTGACGTGGAGCTCGACGGCGGGAGGAGGGCTCTTTTCCCCGACAGGGGACCCCGGAGTCCTGGCGCAGAGTGGGCAACGGTGGTGCCGGGGGGCGCAGTCTGCTGCAGTCCCTGGTTCTAAGACTTCCATCTGGAAGATGGGGGAAGAGGTGGCTGTGTGTGTGTGTGTGTGCGCGCGCGCGTGTGTGTGCGCGTGTGTAAGGGGTTGGGGCTATATGACAGCCCCCGTCCGGGCTGCGGTGTCTCCTTAAGGGAACCCTTGGTGCAATCTGGGACCCCTCCCCCAAGGCTTCCCAAGGTCCGACCTCAGACTGAAGCATACCTCCTCCATTGATTTTCAGCTCTACTTTGCAGAATCTCCCCCTCTCTCTCTCGCTTTCCCGTGGGTTCCGCTTCAGGACGGGAAGGAACATCACCCTCCTTTCTTCCCTCTTTCCCCCTCCTCTCAGTTCTCTGGGACGGTTCAGGGTGGGGCGGGGGGTTCTTTTCAGTTACCTCTGCTAGCTCCCCCAGTGAGGCCTCAGAAATGGGGTCCCAGCGGCTGAATCCTCAGCGCCGCGGCGCGGACACTGCGGACGCGCTGCGGTGGGTGCGGAGACTCGCAAGGAGCCGAGGGGCTTGGGACAAGTCCTTTTGCTGCTCCCGCTCTCCCCCGCCCTCCTCCGCGGTTTCCTTGCTCCGAGGTCTTGGGGCCAGCCACCCCCTCCGGCTCCCAGGTCCCCCGCCGCCCCCCAGCGGTCTCAGCCATCCATCACGGCTGTCAGCCGCCCCCACCCCCCACTCTCCAGAGGCGCTGCGTCCCCTGCGCACTAGCGCGCTTCCTGCTCCTGCTGTCTGCGCTCAGCGCCTTCAAACGTTCCCCTGGGCACTGCTTGACCCTATGAGCCGACTCCCGCAGATCCCTCTGGGGGATGGCCCCTAGGGCTGAAAGAGCAGGGTCTTCTAGGGATTGGCAGCCTTGACTCTGAGGTCCTCCTGATCTTGGATACTGAATCTCAGTCAGGGCCAGTGGCCACTTGGAAAAGCTAGGGACACTAGGGTCCCTGATCCTTTGTCTGACCCCCCCACCCCCACGCAACTCCTCATTTCTCTTGGGGGCTGAGTGGTATACAGGTGCCAGAACTCATAGCTGGCCAGCTTATCCACCTCCCCAGTGACCCTGGGATCACCTCATCCAGCATCCACCCCCTCCTCCGCGGGCTTCTGGCTGGAGGGGGAGGGGGTTTGGCAAAGTTGAGTCTGCAGCAGCGCCAGGCATCCTGACGCGGATCTTTCCATCTGGGATCCCCTTCAGATGCCTCCACTTTGAAAGGGGGACTCAGATGAGAGAGCATCTCTCTGTTCCCTCAGACACCGGGTATGGTCCTATACCCCAGCACCCGCTTTCTCTGCTAAGGTTTCACCAGGCCTTGGAGTTTCCATGGGGTCTTAGGAGGCCTAGAAAAGAAGCATCACTGTGTATGCGGCAAGAGTTGAACTGGGAACTCGCTTCAGTTCTATCCTTCCCTCTCTGTTAGTTTCTAGACACTGAGTGCAGCGGATTCATTTGGAGACCTTCTTTCTATACATAGGGTCCAGGACCTGGAACTCCAGTGGCTAGAACCTGGGTCAGGTGCTCTGGGTCCCAGAGAAAGAAGATCCCCACCCCGCCACCCTCCAGTGGTGCCTGGAGATGGTGGTAAGAGGTGCTAAGGACCTTATGGACTTGAGGGAGGACCATCAGGTCAAGTGCCCCGACATCTCTGATTCTAGATTCTTGGGGATGTACGAGAAGGAACTCGTTGCTGACCTCGGTGGCAGGTGGGAATGGCCCAAGTAAGTGGGCACTTCTGGACTAAAGAAGAACCCAGGGATGCGGCCTTGTCTCCTTTCCCCTTGGGGTCTGACGCCCCCCCCCTCTCTCTCTCTCTCAGAGCTGGCCTAGGGATTCCCCCAGGCCCAGCCCCAGGCCCCGGGGAGGCTTCTTAGCCTGAGCTGCTCGCCTGTTTCCTCCCCGGGAGCTCTGGCCGCCGCAGCTTAATTGAAAGCCGATTCGGGTTGAGAGCTCCCAGGGGGCGGGGGCGGGGAGGGCTCAGCCTCAGTCTGGCCCTGCCTCTCGCGCGCTCCGCTCGGCGCTCCCGCATCACCCTTACTCTTGGCTCTGGGGAATCAGGGCGAGTTTCCCCTTAGCTGTTCTGGTTCTTTGAGAACTCGGAAGCTCATCCCCCATCCCCCTCAACCAGTGCTCCTGGCGTTCCAGGGAGGGGACGAAATCAGCCCTGGCTGACAAGTCCGGGGAGCCTGGCGTCCCGCCCAGGCAGATAGTGAAAAGGCGGGACCCAGGATGAGCCTACCTAGCCGCCCTCTCCTTTGCCCTCATCTCCTGGCCCGGATCCGGCCTGGAGTCTGGCTCTGCGCTGCGCGCCGCGTTACATAAGCGGCTGCGGGCGCGCGGCCCGCTAGGCTCGGCGCTGCGCTCTCGGCCTGCGCGGTCGCCATGGAGACCGGCGTGGGGCCACCTAGTTGCAGGGTCTCGGCCCGGACGCCCCCATTTCCGTCCTCTGAGTGCCACCCGCCCCTGCGAAGGAGGAGGCGCTTGGGAGGGGGAGTGAAAGGCAGAGGGGAGGGGTTCTCTGGTCTTGTCCTGACCCTAAGAGGGAAAGCTGGGGGGAAAGGGACCCAGCTCCATAGGAGACAGTACCCCTAAATCTTATGGCTGGAGGTGCAGTATGGGATGGGGAGATCAGGCTGGGGGGGCACCAAGTATGTTAATAATAATCGCAATTGCAATAGCAGCAGCAATAGCCACACGTGACGGGCACACCTAACATGCATAATTTAATTGAATCCCTGCAACAGCCCTATGAGTTAAGCTTGGTTAGTATCCTTTTGCAAAGGAGGAAACTGAGGCATAGAGAGTTTGTGACTTGCTGAAAGTGACGACACAGCTAGTGAAGCTGGAACTGGAATGTCTGTTTCCATAACTCCAGCCCCCTTTCTTAACCGTTAGGAAACTTCCTCTCACCTCAGGTCCCCTTAACTTCTCTAGTCCACACCATGGTGTGCTGAGAACAGGAGGCATACTGGCAGCATTTTAACGGGAGCAGGAATCTACTTCATCCTTGTTTCTCCTGTTCTCTGGCCCGAGAGTTATTCTGAGATCCTGGGGTCCAGAGGGGAGCCCGGATAATTTAGTCCCAAATAATTTTTCCTGACCACCTATTATGCGCTGGGCTCCCACTGGGAGGATGGGTCTGTTATTCCCAGGAACTCACATATGTGAGAAGAAAGAGCTGACGCCCCCTATTTGGCAAGCAGGAGTTTCTGCCTTGATGGATGAGGTGGAGGTGGTGGCAGAAGTCTTGGTGATGGGTTTCCTTGGAGCAGGTGAGGCATCATTCCTCCTGGCCCAATTTTTAGTCAGGAAGAGATTGGTTTTATAACAGAGACAGGCCATGCTCTGGCTGGGTGATTGAGAAAGGTTTCCAGGAGGTAGAGAGGAGGACCAGGAAGATGCAGATGAATGGAGATGGGGAGAAAGGGATGTCAGCTGTTGAGGGGACAGGAGAATCAAGGTGTGTAGGCCCTCAATTTCACTTGGAATTTGGTCAGTGGTGAGTTTCTGCAGTGTCCAGAGAGATGTCAACTGCTGGAACTCAGCCCTGGAATTGAAGAAGGGTCATGGCTGAAGCCAAGGAAATGTACCTTTGGGGCCTCTTATATCTTTCTGAAAGGATCTTCCCCCTGGTGCCCAAGATACTTTCTCCTTGAGTGATCTCATCCAGGCGCATGGCTTCACATGCATCCTACACATATTTACCTGGCTTACCCCCACCTCTTTCTCCTGGCCAGCCTCTTTGCTGCATGTATCCTGATTCATATATCCAGGTGGCTTCAGGTTGTATCCACTTGAGTGCCCTACAGTGCCTCACCCTCAGCTAAATTCAGCATCTTCTCCACCTCCAAACTCCTCCTCTTCTAGTCTTCCCATTTATTAAATAGCACCATCATCCAACCATTCACCCATGCTAGAAACCCCAGGCGTTATCCTAGATTCTTCCTCTCCCCCTCTCCAAACATCTGGCATTGAAATATGCCAGTAATTCTGTCTGTTGCTCTACATTGCTCTGGTCAGGGACATCATCAGCCCTAACCTGGGTTACTGAAAGTCTCTAACCACCATACTTTGTCTTCTTCACCTAAAAGCTCAAATGATGGCTATAAAACATGGGTTTATTCATGGCACTTTTTAAAATTTTTTCTGAAACTCTTCAATGGCTCCCCATTGCCCTCTGGATGAGGTCCACATTCTTGAACATGATCTGCTAAACGCTTAAGGGCCCAGCCTACAATTCCCTTCCCAGGCTCACCTTTTCACTTTTCACTACCCCTTCCACAGACTCCAGCCAGATAATACTTCACTCCTCTAACCCACTCTGTTTGCTCTCACCTCTGGGCCATCGAACATGCTGTTCTGCTATTCTCTCTGCCTGGAACACCCGCCCTGCCTCCCTCCCAGTCTAGCTCTTACTCATTCTTGAGTTCTCAGCCAACACGTCACTTCCTCTGGGAAGCCTCCCATGACCTCCCAGGCTGGGCTGGGTGCCTCTTCTGTGTCCCACAGCCCCTTGATCTTCTGTCATAGAATTTACCATGATGGATTGGAAATTCCTGGATCCTGGTTTGTCTCCCTGCACTTGGATTGGTCTCCTGAGAGCAAGGATGGTGTCTTCTGTGTTTTACCCTGCCTTCATCATGCCTGTATTGGCACGTAGTAGACACTTGGTAAACACATCATGAGTGAAGATGACTAAAGGGAATAGGAGATGCCAGAGGAGGTCACTTCTTCAAGAAGTAGAGCATCTTTGGGGCTGTAGTGCTCCCAGAAGGCAGACCTTCCTTACTGACAAAGAACATGCTTCCACCCCAAACAACAGTGTGAGCCCAGCTGTAGTCAAGAAGGGAACTCTGGAGAGTCTTGGGGTGCCCTGGTAAATGGAATAAGACCCCAAAGAGCAAGGAAGCACTCACACATCCATAAATACGCAGTGCATGCCAGCTAGTGCATTAGGCTCTTTATACATTCTGTTAACTACATCTCTGCAAGGAAGGTGGTATTAGCCCCATTTTCCCAATGGGCAAACTGAGATTCAGGGGCTACCATGGCCTCATGAGTGTATGCCTAGGTGGTTAAACAACAGCTGATTGGTGCCAGATCCCTGACTCCTCTGCCTTCTCAGGTGATGGCAACCCCAAGGAAAGCAGTCCCTTCATCAACAGCACCGACACAGAGAAGGGAAAGGAGTATGATGGCAAGAACATGGCCTTGTTTGAGGTGGGCTGCTAGGGCTGTTGGGCTCCCACCTACAATTCATCTTCCTGATTCATCAGCTATTCCCTCCCTAGGGGACAGTACCCTTCTCTCCACCCCTTCCTCAAGCCCAACTTCCTTGAGTCTCCCCATCCCTCCTTCTCCCTCCTGGGCTTTACTCCCTCTGCTTCCTGCTCTCCTCTTCTCATCCTATCATTCTTATCCCTGTTCTCCTTCCCTGTTCCTCCTCCTTTCCCATCTCATCCCAATCAAAATGATTTCTGGTTTTGAGCTCCTTGTCCCTATTTCTCCCTCTGCCCCTCACCCGCCAGCTCACCCCACCTACTTTCCCAGCCTCCTAGCACTGACACCCTCCCTCCATAGGAGGAGATGGACACCAGCCCTATGGTGTCCTCCT